GTACGGTACTACTTGTACTTTAGCAAAGGAATCACTAACATTTCAAGCATTTTAACAAATTTGATTGGATCCATCTTTCGCGTTTGTGGCAGTAAATCTGCCAATAATTGAAAAAAATCTTCAAATACTCATCGGTAATATGCGTTACCAAATGGTTTCTACCACCAATGAAATCATCACAACTTGACACCTCCATGAAACCCAGTGTTTATCATGACTTTTAGTAATTTTACAGTTACCGGTATATAACGTACACTAAGCTGTTTATAAGCAGGACAAAACTACAGTCTTGCTTCTAACCAAGTTTTGTAAATACATTGTATCAGTAAACTGCTTTCATTCACATTTAAATGTACTGGTTTAAGAGCTAACCATTGTCTACCTTTATAATGCACAGGAATGCCTTTGACTTCACAAAACATAGCAACTGTGACCACCTAAACATTTAAAATGTGATGCTTGCTGATTTAATGATGTTAAACTATCTACATGTATTAGTAACAACAATGTTGGAAAAGGATTTGGATTCAAGTCCACAACATCAATCATATTAGGATGAGCCTCCGGCGACTGAGCTATTCCTTTTTTTGATGGAGGTTCTGGAAAAAAAAGGCATTAAAAAGGTTCATGAGCAAGTGACAAAGCTTATCTTAGGCTTATCTTTTGTATTTATTTAAATTACCCGGTAACACATAGTCAATGCTGTACGCTACAAATGCTTCTGATCTGATTTCTGAGTGTGTATTTACAAATATAATTTATAAACTCAAAACTTTGGTGAGAGTTGAGAAAATTGCATCAGGGCACTAGTGTTTCTAATACATAAATTTGTGTTTTCAATTCACTCTGCAGTCTGTACTCATAACTTTTTTCTGGTAAAGATTGCTTGTGAAATGTGCATCACTAACACTGGAGCTTTAGTTGACACGCTGTCTGCTCAGTCTTGGTGTTACTGGCAATGTATTATTTCTTAAAGATACAAGTTGATTGTGTATTGATGTCTACATCTACCTGTATATAGTGTATCCTCGGGGGCGGACATCCGGGCATTTTCACCGCCTGGCAACCCGCGGCGGTGAAAACAAAGGCCCAAAACTCGCAGAAAACGGTACTTTGGGGTGATTGTTGATACTCCTCTGAACAGTGCAACAAAATTAGCCCTACGTGTGTAACATATATAAATTTGGTTGTTCAGGGTTACTTCAAAGTTGAGTTTGTGTTGTTTTCTCGAATTTTCACCGGCTCGACCGGAGTTCCACAGCAGCGCGCACAGAGCCCATAGAAATGCATGTACAGTGGTGCGCGTCTTAGCAACGTGGAACGTCTGTGACGTAGCTCCGCCCCCGAGGATAGGTATTTACATGTATATACATGTGCATGTAACAGCAAAGCATGCCATACAAAATATCAAACATACTGGTACTCACATATTTGTATACATGTCACATTGTAAAAATATTTTAGCCATATGGCAGCAGCAATATCTGTTTACAATTATTCGTTTTTTTATTATCTGTTTTTTTGAAGAAAAAAAAAAAAGAACAGTAAAATAATACAAATTAACTTAAATAATACAAATTAAATACTTCCCATTGACCACAATGAAAATACATTTATTTTAAATTTTTTTTTTTTTATTGCCAGACTAGATAACACAGCAGCACTGCAAAGATCTGTATTGAGACAATGTTACCTAAATACTGTTTGCATTGTTGTTGTTTTGCACTGAAAAACAAGACAGTTAGGTCAACATGTCAAAGTTGAATCAGTGAGAATATACAAAAATAACAAATTTACATTGTCAAAACAAGTTTCTCTATTTCTGGAGCTACATGTATTAAAATTATTTAAAAATACTTTAAGTTAAAGAGAAATTTTTTCCATTTATTTTTCCATTTAATTATGGTTGTGTGAATTGTTAGTCACTCGCCTCAAATTGCCAACTCCAATCTTGTTAATTTTGTATGAAATCAAGATAATGAAATTTTAAATTACTGTATTTGCTCTATTAGTATTACCCAATATTCTAGTGCACATGTGTATGTATTCTATGCTGAATCATTTCAGGCCCAAGTCAGTTTTAATTCAGTTAATATAGAAATAAACATGTTTGTCCGACATTTGAAGCACTACTTTGTATTGTTAAAATCAATATCTTGATACGATTTCATAGCAGAATGTGGGAAAAACATGTCATTTAGACTGTCATAGTCTGGAATTGTTTTATCTAAAAATATATTTTGGCTATCAAAGGCTATTGTTATTTATTGCTTTGCTTTGTTTCTTCTGCTTCTTCAGCTGTTTTTTTAAACTGCATTTTCTTGAAAAAAGTTCTATCAATAAGCCTGAAAATTTAGGCATGCATTCTGCTTGTTTTGCTCTAAAAAGTGACTGAAACATTTTTTGATTAGTCCCGTTGTTTGACCACAATCTTGGATTTTGTGAAGCCCGGAAGTGCTCAACTGTACCACTGGGGGTCTAGGACTTTCAAATGTCTTTGTGTTGCCTCTTTGGCATATGTGTATCAATATTTATATATCTAATTTATGAAATATGCCCCTATTATTGCTGGATCCTGAGTGTCTCTAAAAAAGTAACTGTACTGTCAATGATTTACTGCAAAGTGTAAATAATATACCTATTTAACTGTACAAAAGTCCAGGAACACAAAACAAACGACTGACAAAAATCGGCAAAACAAAAAAACTGGATATCTAAAAAGGTATGTACCCCATACAAAAAAATATCAGTGAATACAATATTTAAGAAATAAAGCCGCAAGCAGGATCATCGGGCCCAATTTGAGATAACAGGGCACGGCACCCTGTTAAAACCCCTAGTGGAGAACTGTTATTACACACGAGCTGTACTATATCCCATAAAAACAATCTGACTGCCTAGACCCCCAGAAAATGGTCAAATAGCCACTTCCGGTTCAATTCAAATCCATTATGGCCGCCGGACCAATTGACCTAGAAGCCTAGCTCTTTTAAGTGTCTTGTCATAGAAAGAATAAAGAATAAAAATGTGGCTGCCATTTTTAATTTTTGAAAAACATAACTGCTAGTTTATTTGATGTACACAGTCTTCAGAAGCATCTCTTCAAAGTGACTTTTTGCAATTATTCTGACCAATATAAAAATAATTGTCATTATTACCATCAGTTTAAAAATATATTTAAATGGTAGATATCATATTAACAAACAATTGCCATTATATATGTACTGGCTAAATGCTAAAGAATTTCTAAAAGTACCGGATTCGGCTGATACCCCGCCCTGGGCGATCTTGTGGAGGATTCGATTTTTTTTTAGAAAAATGTGGACCAAAAGATCGCCTGGGCGATCTTTTGGCAGATATTACGTGGCCCATCTTGTCTAAAAAAAATAACCCTGCGTTGTTAGAAATGGTCTAGAAAAAATAATGTTTCGCGTTGACCAAATATAATCATGCAAAGTATAAATTCAAAGTGTTTTAATACATTGGTGAGAGGTCGCATTTTACGTGAACAAGAACATGCACTAAGAAGGAAAAA